CACAACGGCGTGCACTTTTTCGACATCTCAACTTCCAAAAGTGGTCCGGAGCTGAGGTGTTTTGTACATTTTGACTTGGAAATGTGCTTCGCGCCACAAACGCCGTAAAAGAAAGGGGGAGATAAGAGAAAGGTTGCTATATGCGCACCCAGCACATTATACTTCTTGCCCGGATGCCCCCCCCTCAGGGCCTGCCAAAAGTGGTCCGGAGCTGAGGTGTTTTGTACATTTTGACTTGGAAATGTGCTTCGCGCCACAACGGCGTGCACTTTTTCGACATCTCAACTTCCAAAAGTGTCCGAACCTGGTGTGTTTTGTACATTTTGACTTGGAAATGTGCTTCGCGCCACAACGGCGTGCACTTTTTCGACATCTCAACTTCCAAAAGTGGTCCGGAGCCTGGCCTGGGAGGGTGTGGGACCTGGTGGGGTGTTTTTTGTACATTTTGACTTCGAAATGTGCTTCGCGCCACAACGGCGTGCACTTTTTCAACATCTCAACTGCCAAAAGTGGTCCGGAGCTGGTGTGTTTTGTACATTTTGACTTCGAAATGTGCTTCGCGCCACAACGGCGTGCAATTTTTCATCTCTCATCTGCCAGCTGGCTCCGCACGCGCCGCTTTAGCGAGCCTACTTTTCGACCTTCCGGAGCCCCAAATCATTGGAAAAACACAGTGTTTCGCGACTTTCCTACCTTTTCACGCATCTGCATCTTCTTTCTTCTTACTCTTCTTTCTTCTAATCTTTCGCTTCTCTCTGCCTCTTCCCTGCTCTGCTTTTCATCTGTCCATATTGTCGGAAGTTTGACTTCTAAACTTCCTTCGATTATATGTATATATATATACTGTATATAGATAGATAGATATATACATACACACACTCGCTTTTCAACCAGTTATTGCATTATTATCAACCTATACTACCTTATAACACCTTTCCAAATCCATAGGAATCTGCGCCACTTCTGCAGGAGAAGCGCTCCCTGCAAGCTGAGTTCGACGAGAAGGATCGTTGATTAGGGGTTTAGCCACCAATGATGAATGATGAGAACGCGTCAAACATCATGATAATTATGGGGATATGACATAGTATAATTGATACATGATAGTTGGTTGATGATCATAGGGGGCTGTACAACCCAAAATATCGGGAATCATCATCATACACCTGGAAATCCAGACAAGATAACCATTACTTACATTACTTGGGTGATTTGTCCTAAAGGTTTTTGATACATGG